GAAGAAGAGGGAGGTCAGGAGAAGGAGGAGGATAATCAGGAAGACGAGGAGGACCGAACAGACACGAGGAAGAAAAGGAGAAGACGGATAATGAGGAGGAGGTGGAGGAGGACAGGAAGGCGGAGGAGGAGGAGGAGCAGTAGAACGAGCAGGAGGAGGAAGAGGAGGGGGACATATGATGATGATGATGATGATGATGATGATGATGATGATGATGATGATGATGATGATGATGATGATGTTGTTGTTGTTGATGATGATGATGCTGATGCTGATGCTGATGCTGATGCTGCTGATGATGATGATGCTGATGAGGATGATGATGATGATGATGATGATGAGGAGGAGGAGGAGGAGGAGGAGGAGGAGGGAGAGGAGTAGGAGGAGGGGAGGAGCCTCTTCGAGCCTTGGTGGGGGTGTTCTTGGAAAGCTCCTGGGACGTCTAGGAGGCTTCTTGGATCGTCTTGGCTCCATCTTGGCCGTGTTGGGCCGATCTTTGAGCGACACGGGGCTCTTTTGGGCAATCTTGCGAGCCATCTTCGGCATTCTGGGGTCTTGTTGGGGCTGTTCGATATGTCGGGGCCGTCCGGGGGAAAACGAACACCTCCCCGGGACCCCCCCCTCCCCCCACGCGGGGAAGGGATCAATGGGAAGGGGCTACCCTTCGATTCCAATACGACGTTGTACAATTTCGCTTTGGATGGCACGCTTGAGGAGGGCCCAGGGAAAGGGACGGGGGACGACGGATACGGCGAGGAGACGACTGTGACGACGACGAAGACGACGAGGAGACGACGGAGAAGCCCCTCGCACACGCCGCCAGGGTCGGCGGATTGTCAATACCTTCTTGGCGTGGTGTTTAGCTGTCCGCAGCAGATCCTCACCTGAATGCTCCTTTCACCTGTTCTGTGCACGCAGGCACTGTGGTGTACACCAGCGTTGCGTTGCACGCGGATTCCGTTGTGTACACAGGCGCCGTGGTATGTATGCGCAGGCGCTGCAGTGCATGCAAGCATTGTGGTGTACACAGGCGCTGTCTTGCACATGGTTGCTGCGGTGTACTCATTCGCTGTGGTGTGCACAGGCGCTGTGGTGCACGCGAGCACAGTGGTGTACACAGGCGCTGCGATGCACACGGTTGTTGCTGTGTACACAGGCGCTGTGGTGTACACATGCGCTGTAGTGCACGCGAGCACTGTGGTGTACACAGGCGCTGCTGTGCAGATCGCCACCGACATGCTGCTCCTACTTGGCCCTGGTCATCCCTAGGCATTCCTGGACGCCGCTGGCGTGGAACGTGACGTCATCTGGGGGGGGGATAACGGCCGCTATTCCAGAAAAATAAAAGAACAGGCTCGTAGGATCCCGAATCGGGATCCGCATAGGCATCCGCACAGGAATCCACATAGGAAACCTCATGGGGATCGCATAGAGATATCCATCGGGATCCGCATCGGGATCTGCATTGGGATTCCCAGGGATCCTTATAGAGAATCACACAAGGATCTGCGTAGGGATCTACATAGGGATCCGCGTGGGGATCCGCAAAGGGATCCCCAGAGGCATCCTCACAGGGATCCGCATCGGGATCCGCATAGGGATCCGCATGGCCAGTCGCATAGGCATCCGCATCGGGATCCGCATAGGGATCCGCATAGGCATGCGCATGAGGGTCCGCATAGGGATGCGCAAAGGATCCTCAGAGGGGTCCCTTGGGATCCGCATGGACATCCGCATAGGGACAGCGGTCGCGGGCAAGTTGCGGTGCTCTCAGGCATGTGTGGCGTTCGTAGGAGAGAGAGAGAGAGAGAGAGAGAGAGAGAGAGAGAGAGAAAGAGAGCAATAGGAGGAGAAGGACGACGGCGACGACAACGACGAGGACGAGGACGAGGATGGAGGAGGGAGGTAAAGATTATACCTCTTATACGCCACCTGGAGGCAACGACGCCTTCACAGGCATGTGCTCGCCACGAATCCTCGTCGCTCTTCGTTGTCGTCGTTGTCGTCGTCGTCGTCGTCGTCGTCGTCGTCGTCGTCGTCATCTTCGTCCTCGTCTTCGTTGTCGTCGCTCGTCATCGCTCGCGGCCGCTCGTCGTTGTCAAACACCTTCGAATGCTTTCGAGGGCCCCTGGAGGCCTTCGGATGACCTCCAGAAGGCCTTTGGAGGCTTCCAGAGGCTTCAGAAGGAATCCAGAGGCTTCGAGAAACCTCCAGAGACCTCCAGAGGCGTCGCTCGTCGTCGTCGTCGTCGTCGTCGTCGTCGTCGTCGTCACCGTCGTCGTCGTCGTCGTCGTCGTCGTCGTCGTCGTCATCGTCGTCGTCGTCGTCGTCGTCGTCGCTGCTCGTCGCTGTTGCTCGTCGCTGTCGTCGTCGTCGTCGTCGTCGTCGTCGTCGTCGTCGTCGTCGTCGTCGTCGTCGTCGCTCGTCGCTCGTCGCTCGTCGCTCGTCGTCGTCCTGCTCGCGGACGCTGTGGTGGCGCCGGAACCGCACGGCAGGGGGGGGGTGCGTTACGTTATGCCCCCCCCCCCCCGCCCCCCCTCCCCTCCCCCATGACGCCCGATATCGCCGCGAATAAAGGCCCAGTCTGCCCCTCCGAGCCCCGCGCGCCAGTCAGATGCGGCCGGCGCGATGGACTTCAGGCACATCAAATAAGAAATCGGCTTGCCAGCAGGTGCCCCACGGAAAGTTCTGATCAAACGATGGTCACGCGGGCCCAGTCGATTTTTGTGGCACCTCAGGGCCCTGCAACTCCGACGAACAATGTGCCCCACTCTTTCTTGTAGCGATGCTTCTTGCCGTATGTGTATGCTGTAGATGTTCTCATCTTCCCCCGTAAGGTGCTGAAGGTCTGCGAGGGGCCGCTGTGCGGGTACATCCAGGCGCGCGTGGCGGCAAGGGCCGGAGGGAGGAGGAAGAGGAGGAGGAGGAGGAGGAGGAGGAGGAGGAGGAGGAGGGGGAGGAGGAGTAGGAGGAGGCGGAGGAGGAGGGGGAGGGGGAGGACGAGGGGGAGGAGGGTAGGAGGAGTATTTGACAGGGATTTGACATGCTGCGTCCGAGGGCATCCGTGGGCATAACCAAGGTTGGTGGGGACACCTCTGCTGCACCAGGCTAGTCCCAGCTGTAGGGGGGTTAATGCGCTTCTGCTAGTCGCGTGGGGTCCCAGTGTGTACCGTACCGTGTTGGCGTCTTCCGAGGCGTTGCCGATCCTCGACTCCGAAGCAGTACTGTGTATTTTTTCGGGCCCTAGGGCGGAACAGCTATGCACCGTACCGCGTTGGAGCTGGGCCTGAAGGCAGTCCAGACATGGTGCATTACATGGGCGTCGTTCTCGTAAATGCTGACGGCATGGCTCGTGTGTCTTCCCCTCTGCCTGATTTTAGCGATGTAGCTGATGATCACCTCTACCGTCGCGCCTGCCGTACAGCTGGCACGACGGTTATAAAGAACTCTAGTTTGGGAGGGGAACCCTTATATTCTTCATGCTTGATCTCCTCACTCTCTTCCTACTCCTTCTCCCTCCCTCTTTTCCTCATCCTTCGTCGCCCTCCCTCTCACTCTGACACCAACGACAGACGAGGACAAGCACATGTGCCCCAGGCACGCTGCCTTTGCCAGGAGGCGTCGGGGGAAGGGACGGCTCTGGTCTGGCAGGCCGCCGACGCCAGGGCTCAGTCGGCGTCATGAGCCCTGTTGACTCGTTGCTCTCATCGCCCTCGCCCGCCTCCCCGCCCACTCCTCCTCCTCCCTTCCCCTCCTCCTCTCCTCCTCCTCCTCCTCACTCCTCCCTCCTCTCTCCTCCTCCTCCTCCTCCTCCTCCTCCTCCTCCTCCCCTGCCCCTCCTCCTCCTCCTCCTCCTCCTCGCCTCCTCCTCCTCCCCCCCTCCTCCTCTTCCTCCTCCTCCTCCTCTCCCTCCTCCTCCTCCTCTCTCCTCCTCCTCCTCCTCCTCCTCCTCCTCCTCCTCCTCCTCCTCCTTCTCTCCTTGTCCACCTCCTCCTCCTCCTCCTCCTCTTCCTCCTCCACTCGCAGGCCCTCTCCCGCTGCGGCGTTGCGGCGTGTCGTTCTCTCCCTCTCTCCTTCTTCCCCTCCGGGATGCCTTTGCGCGTGCTTGCGTCCTATAAGTGGCCGCCTGGGCCGAAGGGGAAGTATCCGCACAGCGCCCTGGCCTCCTCCTCCTCCTCCTCCTCCTCCTCCTCCTCCTCCTTCCTCCCTCCTCCTCCTTCCTCCTCCTCCTCCTCCTCCTCCTCCTTGCTCCGCCTCCTCCTCCTCCTCCTCCTCCTCCTCCTCCTCCTCCTCCTCCTCCTCCTCCTCCTCCTCCCCCTCGCTCCTGCTTCTTGAACCTTCGACTTTTGCGGGCACTTCCGTGACGACTGCATTGGGCCGCGGAGTTGTCATGCCCGTCGATGTCCACAGGCCGAGTCATCCAGGCGACCTGTTGTGGGGGTGTGGTTGCGTGGAAACACTTCTTCTTTCTCCCCTTCTCTTCTACCTCCTCCCCCATCCCTTTTCTTATGATTTATGTGTAAATGCACGGATCTGCACAGACCACTTCTCACTACCGCATTCCCCAGACGCGTTGGTAGGTCGGGCTGGGCGCTTCGCCTGGTACGTGCTCACCGCTTATGGCCCCGAGACGTGCAGTAGCTACACGGAGCTAGCGGGCTTGTTGCCGAACGGGGTGCTCGCCCTTGCGACGCGCACACCCGTCCTAAACGTTTGCAACGTCCATAAGGTTGGAAGGGGGATTGTTTTCAAACTGGAGCTCTCGCCTCGGCGCCGGGCGCAGTCGTGTTATGTCGTGTCGTGGATGGATGACCTCTCCTTTTCAGGATGAGGCTTCCGCTTATGACTTTTGAGGTTGAGCACGCGTAACACATGTCACCTGAACTTGAACTTGAACACATGTCACTGCTGTACGGATCGAGGGCGGCTTTTTTAACACGTGGGGTTGTCGCTCGAGACATCCTCGAGGCTCGTGACCCGAAGAGTACATTTGTGCAACAGTCACATGTTTCCCAAACGGCGGTCTCGCTGGGCACCTCCTCGTTGCGCTGTATGGCGATACTTCTTGCATGTCTTCATATTCCGTAGAGTGGTGCAAGGCAGTTCCTTTTCAAATGGGAGCTTTCGCCAGGATGGCAGGCTCCAAAAGTGCTGGTCTCTGAAGGGTGCGCTCCTTGTAGTGAAGAGTACGGCTTGTAGGGACATGTGGGGAGGGGGCTTGGGACGGGAGGGTGTATTGCAGCATCCTTTCTGAATCTTGGTTCACTCTGGTCATCCTCTTTTTTTCCTCCTCCTCCTCCTTCACCTCCTCCTCCTCCTCCTCATGATCTCCCTCCTCTCCCTCCTCTCTCCGCTCCCTCCACTCCCTCACCCCCCCCACCCTTGGGCGCCCCCAGCGTGGCGCCACCGAGTTCGCGCTGTACTATCCCAGAGGCTGCCGCCGCCGCTTCCTCCTCTCGCCCCCCCCCCCCCCCCCCCCACGGCGAAAACACGACCAGGATCGCCCTGCCACCATTCTGCGCGGTTCAATCGTGCTCGGCATGCTGTCCGTCGGCAAATCTCGCGATGGGATGCTGCCAAAGAGGGGGGGGCGCACGGCATGCAGAGGAGAAGGATGTGCAGGATGGGAAGCTAACGAGGATGATTATGCTGATGATGCTGATGATGATGCTGATGATGCTGCTGCTGATGATGACGATGATAATGATGATGGTGATGGTGATGGTGATGGTGATGGTGATGGTGATGATGCTGATGCTGATGATGTCGATGCTGATGCTGCTGCTGATGTTGTTGATAATGACGATGACGGTGATGATGGTGATGGTGATGGTGATGGTAATGATGATGATGCTGATGATGTTGATGCTGCTGTTGCTGCTGATGATGACGACGATGACGATGACGATGATGATGCTGATGCTGATGATGATGATGATGTAGTTGATGATGATGATGATGGTGATGATGATGATGCTGATGCTGATGATGATGAGGATGATGATGATGCTAATCATGGTGGTTGTGGTGATGATGATGATGCTGCTGCTGCTGATGATGATGATGATGCTGATGATGATGATGATGATGATGATGATGAAGATGATGACGATGATGATGATGATGATGATGCTGATGATGATGATGATGATGATGATGATGATGATGATGATGATGATGATGATGATGATGATGATGATGGATGATGATGAGGAGTAGGAGGAGGATGAGAGGAAGAGGAGGAGGAGGGGAGGAGGAGGAGGAGGAGGAGGAGGAGGAGAGAGTAGGAGAAGTAGGATGAGGAGGGAGGGAGGAGGAGGAGGAGGAGGATGAGGTGGGCCAGGAGCAGGAGGAGCAGGAGGAGCAGGAGCAGGAGCATTAGCAGGAGCAGGGCAGGGAGGAGGAGGAGGAGGGGAAGAGGAGGAGGGAGGAGGAGGAGGAGGAGGAGGAGGAGGAAGGAGGAGGAGGGACTGAGGAGATTGAGGAGATGGAGAAGATGGAGGAGGTGAAGGAGATGGATAGAGGAGATGGAGGAGATGAGAGCGGGAGGAGGAGGAGGCGGAGGAGGAGGAGAAGAGGAGGAGGAGGAGGAGGAGGAGGGGGAGGAGGAGGAGAGGAGGAGGAGGAGGAGGAGGAGGAGGAGGAGGAGGAGGAGAAGGAGGAACACGACGTGGCGGAGGAGCGCGAACACGACGTGGAGGAGGAGTACGATGAGGAGGAGGGAGGAGGATGAGGAGATGGAGGACCATCACGTGGTGAGGAACACCAGGAGGACTGGGAGGTGGAGGAGGAGCTGGACACGGAGGGGGATGAAGAGGTAACAGGAGGAGGACGCAGGGGGAGGGGAGGGGGAGGACGTGGAGGAAGATGAGCAGCAGCAGCAGCAGCAGCAGCAGCAGCAGCAGCAGCAGCAGCAGCAACAGCAGCAGCAGCGGGAGCAGCGGCCGACCCACGCCGACCTGCGCCCGGTACAGCGGGGGGCCGGCGTGCACCTACGTCCGTCAGCTGGCCGACGAGAAGTGCATCCACAACGCCGCGGGCTCGGGCGGGTGGATTCGGAGAGCAGTAGAGTTCGACTTCCAGGGTACGACGACGACGACGACGACGACGACGACGACGACGACGACGACGACGACGACGACGACGACGACGACGGAGACCTCCTGAGACCTTCGAGGAGGAAGAGCGCGTCGGATCCATTGAGGAACAACTAGTTGCACGCACATCAACTTTCGGACGTCTCAGCGTGGACTTTTTGGCCTGAGCCACTGCGCTGCACCTCCCTCGTCGTCGCCGTCGTCGTCGTCGTCGTCGTCGTCGTCGTCGTCGTCGTCGTCGTGGTCGTCGTTGTGGTCGTCGTCGTCGTCGTCGTCGTCGTCGTCGGCGTCGGCGTCGGCGTCGGCGTCGGCGTCGGCGTCGGCGTCGGCGTCGGCGTCGGCGTCGGCGTCGGCGTCGGCGTCGGTCGTCCCCAGAGGTCCCCGGTGGGACCCCCCCAGAAGCCGCCGCCGGGGCCTGCGGCGGCCGACCCCAAGGCGAACAAGATCCTCGGTCCTCGGCCCTCGGTCCTCGATCCTCAGGGGCCACGTCTCTCGATCCTCCTCGGTCCTCGATCCTCGATCCTCGACCGTCAGGGGATAGGCCCAGGATGGAATTCCTCGATGGCCCATTCAGCTCCGAGGGGGGTTCGATGCCCCGCCCCGCCCCAGAATGTCCTGGTTCGCTATCGGGGGCCGACTGCCGTCCTCCAGCGATGTCTTGCCGATTCCAGGTCGGCGCTTTCCCCCCCAGGCCTAATCCCCCAGACGTTGCTCCTGAGATCGTGGTGGGCATAACCTGGCACGTCCCATGCGCCAGTGGCCGAGCAGCGCGGCACTTGAGGCTGCGGGCCTCGCCACGGAGGTCTTCCAGTCCCAAGTCGCCGCCGGTCGATAGGGGGTCCAGGCGGGGCCCAGACATCCTTCGTCACAGCAGCCGCACGTCAGAGGAGAAGCCCACATCCGCAGGTTTGGGCGACGCAGCAAAAATCGCGACGGCCTGTTTTTCTTCATTCTCAGCCCCTGGGCCGTCTCCCAGTCGGGGGGCCGTCAACCGAGCACGACTCGGGGTGGAAGGCCGGCCCCGGGGAAGTGGTCGACGGCCCCTGGCGCCCGACGTCACACACAGATGCAGCGTCGGAGGAGAGGCTACCGATGCCGATGCTGGCGCCCTTCCCTCGTTCTCGCTCCCTCGGGGCCCAGCAGGGCCCCCGCCGCCACGGCCGGACTCGCCTCGGGCAGCACCCGGGAGCCAGGGCGCGCCCCCCGGGAGGCGCCCGGGGAGCCGCGGGAGCGGCGTGTCGGCGCTGCTGCCCTCTGCAGCGTGGAGATCTCTGGGGGTCCCTGGAGGCCTCCAGGGGCCCCGTCAGGGCCCCCCGTTGGAGGCCCCGCGAGGGCCAGAGACGTGAGGAAGCCGGGTGCCTCCCTCCTGGACCCTCGGGGGTCGAGGGCGAGACTCGGCCAGTCCGGGCTCAGACGCTGGCCCTGCGGGCCCAGGCCTCCGACGTCATGTGTTAGCTAGTTCGTTACTTCGTTAGTCAGTTTGTTGTTGTTTGTTGTCGTCGTCGTCGTCGTCGTAGTCGTCGTCGTCGTCGTTGTTGTTGTTGTTGTTGTTGTTGTTGTTGTGGTTGTTGTTGTTGTTGTTGTTGTTGTTGTTGTTGTTGTTGAACATTATTACTTCTAAAGAATAATTATTGTTGGGGCCCCTGGTGCATGGCCCCCCCGCCGCGCCTAGGCCGCAGCCACATTTTCATCATTTTCGTGAGGAAGTCTCAGGCAAAACGGGTTGGTCCGGATCCGGTTGTTTTGTTACGGCCCGCTTTCCCTTGCAAAAAATAAGCTAAAGTGGACATTTCTTGTTCTAACATAACCAAACTTCAAGAATCCCTTGCAAAAAATAAGGTAAAGTGGACATTCGCGCGCGCAAGACGAAATCCTTCCAAAACCTTAGTTTTCGTAGCGATTTTAACATAAAAACATCAAAAAAAAAACAATGGTTTTTTTTTCAAAAAAAATGTCAAAATTTCATCCCGCGCGCTCTTGCGGATTCGTAGGAAACCCAACACTTTTTAAACATTTCTGTCAAACGGGCTTTTGCGAGCAACTTTTTCGAACTTCTGCAACAACGGTTGCGCACCTGCCAGGGCCATCATCCCTGTCAAATAATACCATGCGGGACACATTCGTTTTTTCTTCGCGCGCGCACGCCGTCGTCGTCGGCCGCGGGGCCCTGAATAGTAGCCACGGTCGTCCGCATGCCACGAAGTGAAGTGTCCGAACGTCATAGGGCGGGAAGCTGGGTGTGGGTGGTGGCGAAGAGTCGTTTGGAAATTTGGTAGAGCTTGAACCGGCCCCCCCACAAAGTGGGGGTATTGCCCGCCTTCTATGAAAACCCTGGCACTGGTGAGAACGGAGTGTCCCCACGTGCTAGTAATTGTTGTTGTTGTTGTTGTTGTTGTTGTCGTCGTCGTCGTCGTCGTCGTCGTCGTCGTCGTCGTCGTCGTCGTCGTCGTCGTCGTCGTCGTCGTAGTCGTCGTCGTCGTCGTTGTTGTTGTTGTCGTTGTCGTTGTCGTTGTCGTTGTCGTTGTCGTTGTCGTTGTCGTTGTTGTTGTTGTTGTTGGTGGTGGTGGTGGTGGTGGTGGTTGTTGTTGTTGTTGTTGTTGTTGTTGCTACTCTTGTCATAGCGACGACCCCTGGAGGTCTCGACCCCTGGGGCAGGCTTCTCATCCTGAGTCGCTCGTTCGACGGCCCCGAGGCCCGGTGAAGGGCCCCCGTAGGCCGAACACCGCGCAGAACCTCCCGTTGTGTTTTTGTTCCACGGCTCGAGAGGGGGGGGTTCTGGGGGAGGGGGCCGCGGGCTTCGCGGGGGCCCGCGTCGCAGGCAGCCTGTGGCGTCGGAGGTCCCGCGCCGAGCGGCGGGGCGGCCCAGCCGAGGCCGTGGACCACCACCCGGCGGTGTCCCTCTGGAGCCGCGGGGGGGGGGGGTTCTGCAGGGCCGCCGCCCCCGCGGCCCGCAGAAGCGAACATACCGCTGTGGGGAGGAGGACAAGGCGGAGGAGGATAAAGGGGGTTCCGAGCGGAGGAGGCTAGGCGGAGGAGGATAAGGGGGATCAGGCGGATAAGGCGGAGGAGGATAGGGCGGAGGAGGGTAAGGAGGATAGGGCGGAGGAGGATAAGGCGGAGGATGCGGAGATGGATTTTCCGCGTGCTCGGCTGGATCGGCCGAGGCCCCTTTGGGAACGTTTGGGGACGGGCGCAAACGGTAATCGCCCAGCACGCCAACAACCCCTCCTCAAGCAGCTGGGGACCGCGCGTGGGTCGTGGATAGCAGGCCTCTTGAGTGCGTATCAGGACGACGACGCTGTTGTTGATGGTGGTGTTGGTGATGATGATGCTGATGCTGATGCTGCTGCTGCTGCTGCTGATGATGATGATGATATTGATGATGATGCTGATGATGCTGATGATGATGCTGATAATGATGATGATGATGATGATGATGATGATGATGATGATGATGATGATGATGATGATGATGATGATGATGATGATGATGATGATGATGATGATGATGATGATGATGATGATGGTGATGATGATGATGATGATGCTGATGATGATGATGATGATGATGATGATGATGATGATGATGTTGTTGTTGGCGTTGATGTGGAGGTTGACGTTTGCGACGACGACGACGATGATAACGGAAAGAGCGTGTTTTACCGCTGCTGGCGGAAAACTGGGGGGGTCACTGGGGGTTCCTAACCCGCCCCCCCCCTCGAAAACCGGGGGGGGGGGTCACTACCGATTTGAACCCCTCCCCCCCCCCTCCCAGTCCATCATGAAAAGGGGGGGGTCACTACCCGTTCGAACCCCCCCCCCGCCAAAAAAAACCGGTAGTACCGCTTCGACCCCCCCCCTCCCCCTCGAAAACCAGGGGGGGTCACTACCGGTTCGAACCCCTCCCCCCCCTCCCCCCTCGCCGCCGGCAAACGATGCCCGCTCCTCGGGACAGTTGGAGAATGGTGGGGATGTTGGGACAGTGGTGGGAACGGTGGTGGTGGGGACAGTGGTGCGGGGACAGTGGGACAGTGGTGCGGACAGTGGTGGGGACGGTGGTGGTGGGGACAGTGGTGAGGGGACAGCGGGACAGACAGTGGGACAGTGGTGGGGACGGTAGTGGTGGGGACAGTGGTGAAGGCGGTGGTGAGGACAGTGGTGGGACAGTAGTACAGTGGGGAAAGTGGTGGGGACAGTGGGGACAGTGGGACAGTGATGGGGACAGTGGGGACGGTGGGACAGCACAGTGGGACAGCGGCGGGGACACTGGGACAGTGGTGGGAACAGTGGGGACAGTGGGACAGTGGTGGGGACCGTGGGGAAAGTGGGGAGAGTGGGACCGTGGTGGGACAATGGTGGGGAGAGTGGGGACAGTGAGACACTGGTGGGGGCACTGGTGGGGACAGCGGGGACAATGGTGGGAACAGTGGGGACAGTGGGACAGTGGTGGGGACGGTGGTGGTGGGGACAGTGGTGTGGGGACAGTGGGAATGTGGTGGAAACAGTGGGACAGTGGAGGGTACAGTGGTGGTGGCGACAGTGGTGAGGGCGGTGGCGAGGACGGCGGTGGGATAATGGGACAGAGGTGCAGTAGGGACAGTGGTGGGGACAGTGGGGGCAGTGGCGGGAACAGTGGGACAGCTCAGGGGGAGAGCGGCGGGGACCGTGGGACAGTGGGGACAGTGGGACAGTGGTTGGGGCCGTGGAGAAAGTGGGGAGAGTGGAACCGTGGTGGAAACAGTGGTGGGGACAGTGGGGGCAGTGCGACAGTGGTGGGGGCACTGGTGAGGACAGTGGTGACGGTGGTGGGAACAGTGGGGACAGTGGTGGTGAGGACAGTGGTGCGGTGCTGGGGACAGCAGTGGGGGGATGTGGTGCGGACGGTGGTAGGGACCCAGAGTTGTTTGCTGGCGGTGAGCTTGGGGGGGGAGGGGTTCGAACCGGTAATGACCCCCCTCGGTTTTCGAGGAGAGGGGGGGGTCGAACCGGTAGTGACCCCCCCCGGTTTTCCGGAGGGGGGGGGGGTAGGGGAGGGAGGGGTGATTTGCCGGGGGGAAGGGGGTGTAGGAGGTATCCAGCAGGGGGGGATTTTCGGAGCGGAAGGGGGGAGACCCCCGGGTTCCGGAGGAAGAGGGGGGGGGATAATTTTCCACAGTAAAGCGGCGGTGGATCACGCTCTCTCTGATAACGATGACGACGATGCTGATGATGATGATGAGGATGATGATGAGGATGGTGATGACGAACAAGAACATGATGATGACGATGTTGCTGATGCTGGTGGTGATGGCATCGACAACTATGATTATGATGACGACGATGATGATCCGGATCATGATGCTGATGCTGATGATGATGCTTCTGATGATGATGATGATGCGGATGATGGTGTGGATGATGCTGCTGCTGATGATGACAATGATGAGGCCGCTGCTGATGACAATTATTGTCCTGCTGATGACGATTGGTATGGTGGTGGTTATCATGACGATGATGGTGGTGGTGGTGCTGCTGATGATGATGATGACGATTATGAAGAAGAAGCTACCGGTAGCGACAGTATGATGGCGGTGACGATGACTTCGACGGTGACGATGATGACGATGACGCTGCTGCTGATGATGATGATGTAGATGATGCTGTAGACGATGTTGCTGTCGCTGATGACGATGCCAAGGAGTTTGATGATGATGTTATGCTGCTGCTGATGATGCTGATGCTGATGCTGATGATGCTGATGATTAGGATAATGCTGGTGATGCTGATGCTGATTATGATGCTTATGAGCATGATGCAGATGATGATGATGATGATGATGATGATGATGATGATGATGATGACGCATATGATGACGACGATGATGTTGATGCTGCTGCTGATGATGCGAATTCGGTGGATGATGAAGATGAGGTGGGTGAACAGGATGAGGATCTTGATGATGATGATGATGATGATGATGATGATGATGATGATGATGATGATGAGGATCATTATGATGATTCCGATGATGCTAATGAGGATGATGGCCATAATGATGATGCTGATGATTCTGATGATTATAACGACGATGATGGCGATGATGACGATGATGATTCTGATGCTGATGATGAAGAGGATGATGACGATTGTGCTGCTGCTGCTGATGCTGCTGCTGCTGCTGATGATGATGATGATGATGATGATGATGATGATCATGATGATGATGATGATGATGATGATGATGATGATAATGATGATGATGATGATGATGATGATGATGATGATGATGATGATGATGCTGATGCTGATGATGATGATGATGATGATGATGATGATGATGATGATGGGGAGGACTGAAAAAGAGGAGGAGGAGAAGGAGGAGGATAAGGAGGAGGAGCAGGAGGAGGGCCATTCTTGCCCCTGCGTGGGGGATGCTCCCCACCACCCGCGGGAAGGGGGACCGGACCCGAGCGCGCTGTCCGCCTCGTGGAGGACGGCGCGCCGTGCGATATTTTTGCAATCAAATAATTGACGGTCCACGTAGTATGCAGTGCGATCTACGGGATCATAATCAACATTAACGTGCTATGCATCACGGTTTTCGCGAACATCGTCAAGACCGACGTGAAATACCTCGAGGTCATTAGCCGCCAATGTTCACCGTGACTACAACACCAACCACCAGACGTTGAACTACAAGGCTTCGAGACTTACCCACAGTCGTGGAGACGTGCCGGCAATGATGCCGAGACCATACACGCTTAAAGGAACATGGGCGCGAACAGGCGCGGCGCAAAAACGAGTGGGGTAGAACGTCCGGCATGGAATACAGTCTCGCCCCGTCGACATTTTTATCATTGCTACGACCGCCCTCGCGAGAGCGTCAAGCACGAGCTGCGTAACATGCAGCCCAAGTGCGAGAACTGGCTGCGTAACGGGCAAGCCAAGTACGAGAACGAGCTGCGTAACAGGCACTCCAAACACGAATACCACCACCATGACGCCACCAAGACCGACGCCAGGGACGACGCTACCGAGCAGCCCGTCGAGGTCATTAACGTACGTCGTCGTGGAGGACCTCGGCCGCGACGCCGACGACGAGTGCGACTATGGCCGCGCCGCCTACGACGAGTACGTCAGCGACCACTTTTTTTCCACAGCGACCCGTACTCTGACGACGACCACCTGGGCTACGTCTTCGACCGGAACTGCCAGGACTACGACTCCCTGTGCAACTGCGCCGCCAGGGATCACTGATACAAGTCCAGGAAGGCCCAGGAGGCCAAGAAGGCAGGGGAGGCCCAGGAGCGGAGATTCAGGAGGATGGGAAGGCCCAGGAGACCACTACAGAGCTACAAGGGCAACCAGCAGAGCTACAAGGACTAGTTGCCGAACTTCCTAGGCATCGCGCAAACCCTCGAGGGCCACCAGTTGGGCTTCAAAAGCCACCAGCTGCGCTACAGGGACCACAAGCTGTACTTCGAGGGCCGCGCGCAGAGCTGCGAGTGCAACCAGCTGGGCTACCAGGACCACCTGCCGTGCCAGGAGAATGACCAGCTGAGCTACGAGGGCCACCTGCTCAACTACGAGGACGCCAGCTGTGCTACGAGGACCACCTGCAGAGTTGCGAGAGCCACCTGCTGAGCTACCAACACCACCAGTTCAGGTTCCACAGCACCCAGCAGGACTACGCGGGCCAGCTGAGTTTCGAGGTCCGCAAGCTGCGCTACGAGGGCCACCAGCTGAACCACGACGGCCACCAGCGGAGCTACGTATATCACAAGCCCAGCTATGTAGAACACGTGCAGAGCAACGAGGGCCCCTAGCAGAACTACCAGCGCCACCCCCTGAACTACAAGGTCCACGAGCAGAGCCTCGAGAGTCTGCTACGAGAACCACCAGCTGATTTACAGGGGCAACGAGC